GGGTCCAAATTCACATTTATAGGGAAAAACCTGGGTATAAAGTTAAAGAAGAAAAGCGGGAAGAAGAAATATCACAGAACGAGTTAAAAACATTGGAATTAGATATTATGGGCAAACCTAGTGAGATTAAAGATAATACTATGTATACATGCAAATATAATCTAGACTGGTTAGCAAAAAATCATCTTGAAGTAAAAACACACATTCACACCAATGAAGGTAGCCTCATTTTAAAAGTAAAATCAAACACAAGGAACCCAGTAGCTATATACACCGGAACCACATGGCATTTTTGGCAGAAACAGCACCAGAGACAAATCTTTCACACAATTTCATGTTGCAAGCAGAAAAAGATGAAGAGAGCGAAGAAATAACAATGGAAGATCATAAGTTAGACAGCATCACAAACGAGAAGAACAGGCATGAACTCAAAGGACTCCTTCTGGAATACAATGACGTTTTCGCGAAATCTACAAAACATATGGAAAAGACAAACTTAACAGAACACATAATAGACGTCGGAGAGGCTCGCCCAATAAAGAGCCGCCCATACAGAGTGTCACAAAAAGAAAGACAGATTATTGACGAACAAATCCAGGAAATGCTCGATAGCGAAGTAATTCGGCCTTGCCACTCTCCATGGGCTAGCCCTGTAGTGCTAGTTAAGAAAAAAGATGGAAAAACAAGATTTTGTGTAGATTACAGAAAGGTTAACACAGTAACAAAAAAATCAACATATCCACTATCGCAGATCGATGACATTTTGTCATACTTGGGCAATGCAAAATGGTTCAGCACACTCGATATGTTTTTCGGATATTGGCAAGTTCCAATCGAAGAGAAGTCCAAGCAATACACTGCCTTCGTGGCGCAAGGACATGGGACTTACGAATTTAATGTTTTAAGTTTTGGATTATGCAACGCTCTAGCCACTTTCCAAGAACTAGCAGACCAAGTTTTTTGGGATATGAAATGGAAGGAAGTGCTAATCTACCTAGACGACATCATTATAATCTCACAAACATTCGAAGAACACTTGAGCAAACTAAAGAAAGTTTTTGAGCGATTGCGACAAGCTAACCTTACTCTAAATCAAGCAAATGTGAATATTTGAAAAAAGAAATCAAAATACTAGGATTCAAAGTAAAGGAGCAAGGCATATTTCCAGATGAAGAAAAAATAATTTGCATAAAAGGGTTCCTGACGTCAAAGAAAACTAAAGATGTACAGAGCTTTCTAGGATTATGTAATTTTTATAGAAAATTTATACATAACTTCGCATCAATAGCAAGACCGCTACATGAAGTTACAAGAAAGAAGATAGGGTTCAAATGAGGTTCTGAACAAAACAAAGCATTTAACATTCTTAAAGAAAAACTGGTTTCCGCACCTGTGCTACAGCATTACAATCCAAATAAAGATACCATTTTGCACACCGACGCAGCAACATGTGGAATTGGGGCAGTACTTTTACAAGAAGACGACAAGGGAGAAGCACATCCAATAACCTACATAAGCAGAAATCTTTCAAATAGCGAAAAGAACTATTCAATTAGTGAATTAGAACTCTTAGGCGTAGTGTGGGCATTGAGCTATCTGAGACACTTAATTTACGGAAGACCAGTAAAAATCGTCACTGACCACCATGCTCTTTGCTGGATGGGCTCCATTAAGGAAAGTAACAGACGCTTGACCAGGTGGGCACTAAAACTTGTAGAATTCGATTACACGGTTGTATATAAAAAAGGATCAACACATAGCGACGCCGACTGTATGTCCCGCAATCCAGTGCTTCAACCAGAATCCCAGGAAAAAGAAGAGCAAGAGGAGCTCCTCACATTTACACTAAAATCAGTGCAAACGGCTACATTACAGAGAGAAGACCCAAGTCTAAAACAAATATTCGAAGCTATAAGAAACCCAGACGACCCAGAAATTAATATTGGCATCAGAAGAAGAGCAAAAAATTTTAGGATTGAAAAAGACTTACTCTATGAAATAAATAAGACAAAAAACGGCTGAGAAAAAGTATTAGTAGTACCAAAATCAATGAGAGAAGAAATTATGTGGGAGATACATGCATCACCGACAAGTGGACACTTGGGACTGAGCAAAACAACGGACAAAATTAAAAACAGATTTTTTTGGGACGCAATGCTAAAGTACATCGAAAAGTACGTAAAGGGATGCCCAGATTACCAAGCTAGAAAAACCTTATCTTACAGAAAAACGCCAGGGATGTCACAACCAATACCGGTGGAAACAATTTTCGACAAAATCGGAATTGATCTTTTAGGCCCATTTAGAAAAAGCAGTAAAGGGAAAACAATGATAGTTGTAGTTACCGATTACGTCTCACGATATGCCATCACAGCCGCCCTACCGAATAGAAAAGCCAGACCAGTTGCAAATTTTTTATTAGAAAAAGTATTCTTGATACACGGGATGTCAAGAAATCTGCTCAGCGACAGAGGAAAAGTCTTTCAATCGGAATTAGTAAGGGAATTAGGAAAATTAATGGGAGTAAGAAGCCAAATTACAACAGCATACCATCCTTGTTGTAATGGTCTCACTGAAAGGCTAAATAAGACAATAGCTGACATGTTATCCATGTATTGTAACACACAGCAAACGGACTGGTGTAGCTATCTACCATTTATAACATTTGCGTATAATACAACAATACAGGACACAACGAGATTTAGCCCATTTATGTTAACATATGCAAGGGAACCCACACTACCAGCAGAAGCTGCATTGTTGGACGCTGACAACGAAACGGACGCTCTGCAAATTAAAGAAAAGGCACTCTTATTAAGAGCCATAGCAGTAGAAAATATACAAAAAAGATAAGGGACGTTTTGACGAACGACATAGAGAATTAGATTTCGTAGTTGGAGACAAAGTTAAGGTGTTCATACCGATTAGAAAGGTTGGAAGAAGTGAAAAATTACTCTCAAGATGGTTTGGACCATACAAAGTAATTAGAAAAATGGGAGAAGTGAATTACGGGGTACAAAAGATTGGAAGCAGAAAAAAGTATACGGTCCACGTGAGTAGGATGTTGCCCTACTACGATCCATGGACAGAAGCTGCGCCTATTGAAGAAAGGGCAGATGAGACAGATATAGCTGAAAACGCAGAATCTAAAGTTGATGAGGATGAAGACGACGAAGATAAAATTAATTGAAGAGGAAATTGGAAGCAGTGAAGCAAAAAACAAGGAAGAAGAAGACTGATTGTACAGATAAAACGATGGAGAGGAATGACAGCTCAATATAAGAGGAAACTAGTTGATGACCTAATAATTCTAAAGGAAGATAGAGAATATGAATTACTATAAAAGAAGAAGAATCAGAAACATTCTTATCGAGGAAGAAGCCGCCGAAGGGATCTTAGAAAAGTACGAGCTGAAAAGAGAAGGCATATGAGTATACAAAAAACAAGTTGGACTAAACTTACCCGTTGGAGCCATGATCAACAAATAACCAAATGATGAAATTTGGTGGCCCGAATGTGGGTCATAATTAAACTATGTAATTATAGGAATAAGCACATTTTTTAAAAATATTATTTGATTTTTTGCATGTATATACAAAACCACCAACCAGGGACGGACTACAAAATAAATTCGAGGAAAGGCATTGTAATAGAAGGACCTAGCTCTGGACTGAGCAGGGGCTAGGAACTTCAAACCAGAAGTAACAAATTGGTATGGACCAATGAACAAGAAAGAAGCATAACAAACCAGGAATAAACGACACTTAGACCGTGGGACCGATCACCCCACGATCTAGCTGAACAAATCACCAGGAAGTACTTGGAGCCAGAACCAATCCACTTTAAAGACAGAATACAGCACAATGAACAAGAAAGAAGCATAACAAACCAGGAAACGACATTTACCGTACACCCCACGATCTAGCTGACCTACCAAGAAGTATTTGGAACCAGAACAGACCCACAATACAGAAAACAGGACCGGACCAAAATAAAAAAAACCATGGCTGAAGCGGTGAAGTTGATGAAATTTCTTAGTTGTAAGCTATATTTTTTTTGTAGTAACCTGAATAATAATGCACATTGTATTTTTTGACATTATTATGGTATTTGTATATATTTTGTTTTAAATGTCTCTTCCAAGCATTGGGGTCCAATGCTTCATGGAGGGGGGCATATGTCAACTAGCTGTTTAGGAAAGGAGGACCCGGTATTTAACCTTATTAATTATATTGCCGATTCTATCGGATGTTTATTGCAATTCAGCAATAAATTGATATAAATTGCGCCGAGAGCCGCAGCAAAGGCAGACTTAAACCAGTGCAAGTACCTCTCGTTGGAAAAGCCCCTCTGGAATTAAGTCTCTCCAGTGCAAGTACCTCTCGTTGGGAAAGCCTCTCTGGGTATCTTCAGCCTTATCGTTGTCAAGTGCAATTACCTCTCGTTGGGAAAGCCCCTCTGGACAAGGCAAAAGGGTGACGATAACTAATCTACAGTCCCCCAAACAGCGTTGACTTGTGGCTCCTTATAAAGACCCCAGTGTTCGAAGGGTCATGCATCTTATAGGATTAGCGTACATGTAAGGGCATATTTGGGAAAATATATATCTATATTTTTATATAACCTGAGCGAGTTTCTCTCCATCAACCCCCAAAGCTACAAACCCATGTCACCCCCGTAAAGCGGGCAGTTGTGACAATATATTATAGGATCGTAAATATTTTCGATGGAGTGTTTGGCAATCGATGCGTTTTGCAGTGTCTATAGGCTTATAGAAATTTATAGATTTGCTTACATATTGCACAGAATTGACCCGTTAGTTTGATTAATAATTGTTGATCGTAAACTTTAATACATTCAAGTTTGGAGCAATAACAAGACCTTCAGAAATTTATTCTATTTTTCTACTTTGGAAATTTCGCCTGCCTGGCCTAATTATATGTACTTGAAACAATAAAAAAATAATTACATATTAGATACTTTTATTAAAGTCACATAAATTTTCAAGTAGGTAATCTACAAAATTAGGTTTATTGCTTACATCTAATGACTATTTACCTAAATTATCCCTTCGTAATCTTCAAAAGCCGAATAATTTTAGACCTTTTAAGCCCCCCAAATTAAACTTAGCTTGTATAATAAACTAAATCTAAGAATACTGAGTACAAAATAAAATACACGAATAATTTTTTATACACCATATAAAAATGCAACAGTAAGTAGATATAACAATTCTAAAAGCAGTTTTATTGAAGTTTTTGAAAGTTTTGTTTTAATACAGTTAGATTTTTTTTGTTAAAAACATATGTTTTTTTGTGCTGCTAAATAGATTTATTTTGGTAAAAAGCTTTAATAATCTTTACTTCTAACTAACATAAAGAATGTGTTATTTTTGTATTTTAATTAGGAAATAAATATTCGTAGGAATAGTGTCCAATTCAAGCTGATGCAGATCCGCTGACTTGTTTCCTTTGCCTTCTACGAACCAAAAAACCTCGGACTCCGGCCTGGATTTTCACGGCCGATTGTTCCTCCAGGTTTGCTTCTTTCATGTTTTCGCGAGAACTTCTTTTCCTGAGAAGTCGTTTTTGGTCAGTGGCAGCAGTCTGAAAAAGGAGAAGAAAATTTTAAAATAATTATTACAAACAAAATCCTTAGAAAATTTAAACAAAGAGCTTGAAACTAATAAATCACAATTTTATTTCTAAACATAAAATTATTATGGTTTTCCAGGCTCCAGGATAGCTAAGAATATCAATATTATCGTTAAAAGAAATATTTTGCCGGACACGTGCCGACACCCAATAAAACGAAAATTTGATTTGAAATCCTTGCCAATTTCCAAATCTGACTTTTACAGTAATTTTAATGGGCTCTAAAACATTTTTCTATAATACGAAACACATTTTGTATGTTTCTTCCAACAGGCGTGGATAAAAATTTGATAATTTTAGCAAATTCATTACTCATTTTTATTTTAGAAATAGGCATGTGAACTGTAAAGTCGCTAATGTGCCATAAATTGGACGTTGAAACGCATTTGAATTGCTAAACATTGGTATGAAATTTTAGTTTACACAATAACTGGCCAAATTAAATGATCCCATTGTGAGGATTGATTTCATTAATAACTGCAGCTACCACTACAGGATTTTTTTCAAACTGAAATTTTAATTTTACATGCAAATGCAACCTCTGACATTATTGTTTTACCAAATTAAACATTGAGTAGGTAGGTACACTAAATAGTCCTCAGTAGTATCAATTTAGGCAAGTTAATCAAATTCCTGATAAAACTATCTTTTTTTCAAATATGTAGATTATTACAATCCGAATATATAGAGGTTTTCCAATTAGCTGATTATATATTTTCCCTTATTGAATTGACTGAAATATAATTAATTTACTTAATCCAAATGTACACAATTATTATCAAGTAGGTATATCGACAAATTGTGAATTTATTAAAGTCAATAATAAATGATAAGTTTCGCAATGTTGATGCTCAAAGCGGAAGTAATTTCGAAATTGTTTTCACTTCCACCGAATGTTTATTTGGCTTTTTCCCAAACCAATTAATGCAATTAAGCATCAGTGTTTTCATAGCGTTCAATTTCCTATTTTATTACATTCTTTCGAATCTCTTGTATAGCAACATACAAACTTGCAACTGAAATGATTAATAGTAGATTATTTATTGAGGATAGGCTTTTTTGGATCTTGTTTTTGTTCATTTCAGGGACCAGATTTGGTTACTATATCCACGTACAGTAGCCAGATTCTTATAATTTGTACTATCTAAGACTCCAAAAAAGGCACAATTCAAAATGATAATAGTGACGTTTATAATAACAAGTTTTGGTCATCACATCTGCTCTCTAGTTGAAACTTGCTTGATTTTCAATATGCCTTCAAAATATAAAAAAGTATTCCAGTTCTATGTGTTTTGTTCTGCGGGGAAATTGTGAATTTTCTGCTGACTTCACTGCCGCAGAAATATCATCGACTTCGAGAGTAGAGGTTAATTGAATTTTGATTTAAGTCCAGCAATCTATAAAATTTCTTTGGTAGCCCCATTCGCAGCAGAATTTCAGTTGCTAATGGTAGAAGAGGCGACCGTACTCTGTCGTGGACTTATCCAGGACCCTATTGCTCTGGCAAAAATATTGAAAACTGCAGAAGTTGATCTTCTTATGTTTAGATACAATATACCAAAATCGCTAAAGCATTGTAAGAACGATGCTATCAGCATGTAGGTGATACCCAGGTGAATTGTTCCTGAGAAGTACTACCTATCTGAAGACTCTTTTTAATCTTGTACTTGAATACCTATGACATTTCTCTCCTGAGACTAAAAAAATAACTTATTGCTCAATATTCTACAAAAGGAAGATAAAGTAGTAAAAACTAAGATTCAAAAAATAAAGATGATACTGAAAAAAGCATTACATTCAAATAGCTTGTAAAAACCAGTAGTCATCAAAAAAATCAAAATTAATACAAACTTAATTCGAAAAGAAATACAAAGAAGAATTATTGGATTATTCTACCTTTCTGGAATTTTGTTCTCTCTGTTCGGTCTCACCTTAGAATTTGCAGTTTCTTCTGACCTGTAGTCGAACTCAGAGTTAAAAAACTCTTCACCAGGGCTATTAGAATCATTACTTGATTGAAATTACACTTCAACGTGAAACACGAACAACGTGGAAATATACTTGAATGGGTCATCAGGCTCATCTAGTACATCATTGATATCGTTGTCTTCGGGTTGACTAAATTCAGAAACAGGTGTTGGTGGAAGTGAACTAAGTTGGATCCTCGACTAATTTCCAGCTGTTGTGGAGTAACTTCTTGCTTTTTACTCACTTACTCATCGGAAGAGCTTACATGTTTTTTTGAAGAAAGATGCATTTCGAGTTATGAAGTAGGTAGTTGTCTCTCATTGCTTTTATTATTGTAGGTACCTATGATTTGCACAATTTCCATTGGTTTTGGCTCAAAATAAGGAGTTAACATGTCCTTTTGATTTATTTCCGAAAGACTAAATCACCAATTTTAAACGTGAACTTGATATTTAGTTTCCTTTTCGTTGTCAGCATATACTTTTTGTTTTAGCTTATTTTTAGAATAAATCTGCTGAATATCCTCAATTGAAAATAGAATCTTGGACTGTAGGAAAAAAAGTGTTCATTTTTCTACCAAAAATGATCTCAAATGGTTATTTTTCAGTTGATGAATACTTCTGTAGATGATCAAAAATTCTTGTATTTCTTAGTCGAAATGACTATTTTCAATGTGAAAGCACAACAAAAATTTCTTGATAGTTTTCACAAATCTCTCAGCCATTCCATTGGCCTCTGGCCATGCCGATGTTATTCTGATATGCTTCATGCCATAATGTTGCAGGTAGCTGGGAAATTCTTGTCCTTTGAATGGTGTTCATTATCTGACTTCATAGATTCTGGAAAACCCTAAGTAGCAAATATCTTGTCAAGAACAGGCTTTAGAGCTGTGAATGAAGTTGAGTTTACCACCTCAATTATTGGATACCGTGAGCATTCATCCACTGCTATCAAAATATATTTGTTTTGATGAAACGGTCCTTCATAACCAATGTAATTGCATTGAAAAATTAAAGTTGGAGTCGACAAGAAATTATTCACAAAACTGGAAACTTATAACTTTTGGCCTGAACATAATGTGGTCGTTAGGGACTTCAAACTTCAACTTCAGCCTGAGCCGAGGAAATCATTTCGATAGACGCCATCAGAGATGGCACAATGGAAGCGACAATAATTTACATTCAAATTTTTAGATGAATCAGAAGTAGGTACAGGCAGAGGTATTAGGTAGTAATGGGAGAGTCTATGCCTATTATCAGAATGTCAACGGTATTCGTACTAAACTTGATGCGTTATGTAATAATGTGGCTTGAAACCAATATGATATTATTTTATTTACTGGAACATCACTTAACTCAAATATATATTAGATAGTGAACTAGGATTAGATACCTAACTACAACATCTTATAAGACAGGAATAGTGAAATAACTAGAAATCAGAAAAATAGAGGTGTCCTTATAGCAGTGAAAAATGGTTTTAGATCTGAGCAGTTGAGTATCTCACAGGATGACTGCGAAGAAATTTGGGTTTTAGTAACTGCTACCAAACACATAAAAAAGGTATTTTGTTGTGTATACATATATTCCGTCTTCATTAAGTAAAGACGTATATGAAAGACATTGGGAATCAGTTGAGAGAGCGGCTCACCAATATAGAGAGTCATAGTTTATGTATTGCTGGAGACTATAATCTTCCTAATTTAAAATGGTCTAACAACTCAATGGGAGTCTTAATTGATGGACATTGTCCAGCTGCAGAAAGTTTGACTGAAACTTTTCCTTATTTGAACCTTTTTCAAATGGACAACATACCAGATTACAAAGGTGTTTTCTTATATTTAATTTTCTGTGATAACCAGAGTGATAAGGTCTTTTGTGCTAGTGAAAATTTAATAAAATGTGATAGGCATCATCCTGCCCTGGTGATTGACATTGAATGTAATAATGGTAGTTTTAATGGTATAGAATATGAAAATGAGATCTACAATTTTAAACAATGTAATTTTGGTAATATTAGTCACATTTTACTTAATATTAACTGGAATTTATTATTTTCAAAATATTTTTCATCTGTGTATAATACAGAGTGCAACTATGAAGTTCACTTTAATTTATTGGAAAATAGTTCTATCACAGGTAATTACTGTATTGGGATTGGCGATGTTTTTCGGGAATTTTCAGCAAATGGTGTTAATAAAGGTGTTGGGTCAGATGGTATAATAACCCCTCTGTTTATAAAAAATTATACAATCGCATTCGCAAGACCAGTATGGATTTTATATAACAAATCCTTAGAGTCAGGAGTATTTCTTGATGTATGGAAAGTTAAAAATTTGTTACACCAATTTTTAAAAATAATGGTTCCAGAAACGATGTTGAAAACTATATACCAGTTATAGTAAAACCAAACTCAATTGGAACAAGGTACCAACTGGTGGCTGACTGGTCACCGAAAATTTCCATAAAAAAGGCACTGTCACTAGACAGCCACCAGTTATGATCTATACGTCCACCTTGTTCCAATTGACTTTGGAAAAACTATACTTGAGATTGTTAGCTTGAATTTTAAGTAGTAGACTTTCCACTCTAGCGTTGGGAGCTAATCTGGTATTTTCTAAAATTTTGACAATGGTAAGTTGTTGCAGTGTAGAATGAACTCTGCACCAAATGTGTAATGAGGGAAATACCGGATCGACCATTTCAAATTAACTGTATCTCCTTTGCACTGGTGAAAGTGCCGGAGTCATGTTGGCATAGACAACAATATGTGTTTTGCCCTCAAGTTCTCTTGAATTAGTATTGCTCAAATTCCAGTAGGTCCTCCATCTACATAAAGATGTGTCATTTTTTTTGATATCAAAATAAGCTAAATTTTTGCTGTTGCTTCAATAAGTTAAAACTATCTTCGTGTTGTTTGGTCCAACTGGAAACTTATCTTTTTGTGTTAACTATCGTAACCGCCTTTCTGTAGTGCTATAGGTA